GAGATTTGTTTGATAATGATTGTGGCCATGATAGTGTGATGAGTGAGACCTTTTTTCACTTGTCCACCCCTTGCCAATTTAAGCCCCCTCATTACTGCCTTGGAGAGAAAACTAGAGGTTCATGCCAAAAAAAAAGTGAAAAGGCGGTTCTCTGGTTATCTCACGAACAGTGTTTTGCACAATTTCCCCCAGACAGCCTTAACAGTCTTACCGTTTCACAGGCTAGACAGGTAAGGCAAATGTTGCATATTTTACATCTAAAGCTGTTCTAAAAATACAAGGTGCTTATTAGCTGAATTAAAATTATGCCTTTTTAGTTGTTGCTGAACTGTAAGTGTGCAGTTTGAGGCTTTCTGGTTGCATGATGGGTTTGACCCTCCACCCAAGAGATAAAAATGGCATAAACCATTGCACAAATTCCAAAAAAAAATCTCCCCTGGTGTAAGACAGAAGCTATGACCATAGCATGGTTGGCACATGAGAAACTTTTACATTTGATCCCAAATGTCCTTGTCACATGGGAAAGGGCCCAGAATATAGCGTTAAATGTATGAAGCAGCAAACAAGTTAAACACGCAGTGGCTCCCTGCCACACAGGAGAGGCATGTCTTTGGACTTCTGGGAATGCCCAAGTTGGAACTACCACCAGAATGTATAATATGCTATGTATAGAGCACACGATGGGCTTAGTGATGTCATAGCTGTGCGCTGCCAATGAAAAACATTATTAATTTTAGCTAAAAGTCATTAAATCTTTATACTTTACTTTCTCTTCACTTCCCTTACAAGCATTGAGTTTTGGCTCCCTTTTTGAGACGACTTTTGGCTAGGAAACAAAGTATTTTATCACTTCAGAAAAATGACTGCAGAAATGACATGAGCAGAGAACAACAAACCCTCTTGGGAAGAAATTGCTGGGCAGCCAGCTAGGCTCAACTGTTGGTCTCATAGTACAAGTGACTTAAATTCCTGCCTCAGCAAAATGTCAAATTACTGTGTGCCATGGAGATCCAGGCTTGCTTTTAGAAGAATGGAAACCAAGAATGCTAAATCATTTAATTCCAAGCGTCTACTGTGTAGGGTATGATTTCAACTATGTTATGAACTATAGACAAGACAGGAAAGAAATACAGCAAAAGCATTAACAGTGGTTATTGGTGGGTATTAGTGATTATTAGTGAATTTTATTATTTCCATTATAGCCTTTTAATTTATCCACATTTCTAAGTTGGCATTTAGAATCAGAAAAAAGCCATAAAAACATAAAAATTTTGAAAAGAATAGGCTAGATGTCAGCAATCTCTTTAACCTCAAGAATCTAGTGATCTGCCTCTACGGAAGACAGTGGATGTCACTGATGAGTGTGAAAAAGGAAAACAATGAGAGGAAAAAAAGGAGGAGGAACAAAAAAAAGAGATGGAAAGCAAAGAAAGAAAATGGTAGAAACAAAAGGAAGAGAGAACGAGAATCAAAAAAAATGGACAAATAGGAAGGAGTGACATATTCCTGAGACCCCTCCATGCCGCCGGTTTCCTGTGCCTATTTCATGTCTCTGTTGATGTAAGACAACTGCTAGAAGTTGTTCATGTAATTAGGAAGCTGTTGTAAACTTCCTAAAACTAAAATAATGACTGATATTTATAATCTTGATAATTGAAGTTGGAAGGGGCCACAGACACAATTACAAGCAGTGATGTAGAAACAGTCTGGTCACTGAAAGGCTTTATATTGTGTGGAAGACCAAAATATATACACCTGACACTGATATTTATAATTTTAGTTGCTTAGTTCAAATGTATAACTTTTACTTATTATAAAGCAATATAATGAGAACAGGGAAGCTATTTTGGTAAACACAAAAAGTGGACATGAGGGAATATGGCTACCAGTGGTCACACCCAGTTTATTTCTGCTTCGTTTGGTTTTAGATGTGTAGTGATGAGAAAATTCTTACTATCGCAGAGAAGTAGTTGCCAACGGAAACCATTTTTACAGCTCCCCTTGCGATCTTAGGATAGGTATTTTTTTCAATTAAACAGATATAATTGAAGAATTTAATGATGAGGGCAAAAAATATTTACTTTGGTAGTACTGCATTTTTACCATTGTTACAACAGTTTTTATGATTTAACTTACTTCAAATCAGTTTGACTCAGTTAAAAGTCATTGTTTAACATGTTTTGAATATTTTTTGTAAGTTATTTAAAAACACCTTAAACTGCATAAAACAAAATTTAATAAAGCAACTCTGGAACAAGTTCTGTGGGCACAGTTTAAAAACCACTAATTTAATGCAACAAACAATCCTCTCACCCCCTCTTTGTGGGTGAGAAAACTGAGGCCCTGAAGGGTAAAGTAATAAACCTAAGGTTACAGACTTAATTACTTGGGGCCATTTTTGTTGTCAGTATACTTACCAATCCTGAAAGGGAATAAACTTGGCTGTCTAAATGGCATTTTGCTGTTAAATACCATAATAGGCCAAAAATCCTAGTGTGATTTAAGACAAATGGGTAAACATCTCAATGGCTAGATGTAATAAAAATTTGTTTTTAAATTCAAGAATATGTAACTTTGTACTAAGAACATCTATGATTTCCTTTTTGGGAGTTTCTAGTTTTGGACATAAAATTTTAATGTCATTGCTCACTCTCAATTTTACTATTAGACCATTAAATCTGTAGTTAGAAAATCGTTTCTGGAGGGTTTGATTCTGCTGTGACTGATAGGAGAACACAGCTATTTTGTAGAAACTTTTCTATCTACTTTTTTGCAGACTCTCACATCTCATTTTCTCTTAAAATTCAGAAAGGTTGCTTTGATCCCAGGTATACAAAAGAGTTCAGTGAATTTCATGGCAATTCCTGAAGTCTGTTAACCTTAGCGAAGTATAACTACATTTTCTAAAGCAGCTTTCCTTCAAATTTCTGCTACCGGTAAGTCTTAATTTTTACAGCTTTGTCTAATCATTTCTTCAATAAAAAGCAGCTTCCTGACATTTGTCTCTAACTTCTTTTTTCTTTTTTCTTTTCTCACTTTTCTTTCTTTCTTTCTTTTTCAAATAGCCACCTGTCCCAACATTTATTCATGTGCTGTCTTAGATGTTTTAGAATAACATAGGACATAGAAAAGGCATAAATTGCACAAGCAGACTTCTCTCAGTGTAGAATGGCCTTTTGCTTTGGATAATAAGAAATAGGTCAAAAATGTTACCCCAACAGAGAAAGTAGGTAAAAATCAGAGGCCAGAAAGAATGAGTAAATTTTTCTGATTATAAACATTTTCCTCAAATTGTTAACAAACGCTTTTATTTCATAACTGTCTTCCATGGCCATCACTTCATTTGAGGTTTTTCCTAGTGGGGAAAAGTTTTATGAAGATGTGGGAAAATCCTCCATTTTTCCTAGAAATACATGTACAAACTTTGATGGAAATATGTAAAAGACTTTCAAAGTATCTCTATGGCTGAGTTGACCTGTCTGAATTGGAATAACTATAGCTTTTTGCACACTGTCTGTTATAGGTATGCATAAAAATGTATAAGTAGAATAATTTTAAATAAAACTGAATTGCATGGGTTGTAATTATCTTGGCTAAAAATACATCAAACCTTTAATATTTCCAAAATAAAGAAATCCAAGCGAAAATTTAATACCTTATTCAGTTTTTATATCATATCTAATTTTTAATATAAAATTTTCTCATATAATATGAAGCTAATTAAATGTGACCTAAATTTTATGGTTATGAAATATCTATTCTTTTATTCCTTTAATGAAAACCTGTTATTCTGAGTTCTCTTTTATGAGGTAGATAATATGGTTTCTATGAGTTAATTAATAATAGCAATTTCACATCACATGTAGAATTTAGAATTCATAAACATAAGGTAGAAAGAGTGTAAGAACATAAACTTTAAAAAGTTAACAACAGAAAACAAAAACTAAAATTGCATTGTTTATAATCCCAAAGTATAATAATTTACATCAACATTGCCCATATAATATTTTAAGTATTCAAAGCTTTCTTTTTATGTATATATAATTAGCGAATTATGATTTTAAAAAATAACACTGAAGTGTTTCTCAGAAATCCAAGGAGTTTGGAAAAGAATTCTTTACCTTTTGGTGTTCATAATTACTTTTGTAGGGGAAGAATTTTCTTACATCCTCTCTATAAATTGAGGATGAGTAACCTAAGTTACTGAAAAGAATCACCAGGAAGTGCTGCAACTGCAAAAGCAAATGTTACACCCATGAAAAGGTTCCTGACCTGCACTTCCATGACTACTCATCATCTGAGGATACTTCATTTGTCAGGTGGATTCTCAATCCCGCAAATAATGTGAGGGCCAATTATGGTCTCCAAAAAGCAAGCCATCATGTACGAAAGTGTAAAGTGTCTGATTAAGCTCCTATTTAAAAAGACCTTTTAAAAATCCGACTACTGGATATAAGTCCTGCTTTCTCTTTAGCAGAGACTGAGTTTGTTCAAAGGCAGCAAAACTATTCTAATGCTGGTTTTGACCCTAATTAATCAGTGTGGACCACCTACAGGCTAGAATGCATCAGCTGTGGCCCCGAAATATGGTCTGCTCTGATCATGTCCCTGATCAGGGACAGAGGAAACGCGGAAAGAATCTGAGAACGTTGTGCCATCACACTGGTTAAGAATACTGAGTGGTTCATTGATCTGGGCTTGTTAAGGGCAGAAACAAGGAAACAGAATGAAAAGAAATCGGAAGAGAAAATGACTGTGAAGAGTACATCACTGGCTGCTTTTCAAAAGGAAAGCCCGTAGACCTGAGATGGCGTCACACAGCAGCTAGAGCAAGGAGCCTGGGTATTAATCACACATGATTAGGAATGGACACGGGACAGCAATGCTTATTTATGTTTCATTTCATTTTATTTTTAATTAAAATATTTCATTTTAATTTAAGAAGCGTATTTGGAACTTGATTTATGTTTATGACAAGTGAACTAGTAAATTTGACTGACCTGGCTGGACAAGGATCCAAGTTGCACTCCTGAAGCTTGGGTTTGGGTTTGATGTTCTCCGGGTAATAGTGACAGTACTGATCGGCAACCACGCGGTTGCTCCGGAGATCGTAACACTCAGCTGATGTCAGCTGGTAACCTGTAGTATCAAACCATCCAGGCAAGTTTAAACGCACATGCCAATATAATAATTCCTTCATGCTTTTTGGCCAGCTCACATTAATGGAAATTATTCCCCAATGCCCCAGTCATTTCCAGGAAAAAAGACGCATAATTGGAAGGCTCATTAATTTTTGCAGACCTCAAATACTGTGTTTTTCTCAAGTAATCCACTAAAGTTTTAATAATTAAATTATATTATAAGGCTTGAACTTCACAAGGGCATAGCTAGATTATAGGACTCTGTGGTAAGCACTATGCTTTTTATTTCTTTAGTGTAATCTAAAAATATAACACAGAATTCTGTATCCAAAAAAGACTATCAATCAGTATTTATTTACCAGCTGTCTTATGCAAAGACATGACATTGCCTCCTTAGAACATGGGGCACCAGGGAGAATAAACTCCCAAATAAATAAATAAAATAAATGCCAACCTCCCCCTTGGATGATGGGGGCCAATGGAAGATAGCCCAGGACCAGGTCCTGCCAAGCTGCCTGGAAATATTACTTTTGCCTGAATTCAATTTGAATGGGTTGAGCTGAGTAAATGACAATTGAGATCCCAACAGTAGCCACCATGAATGCTGTTTCCCTGCAGAATTAAAAAAAAAGAAAAAATGACCTCCCTACTTACTGTTCACCTTTTGCTTTATTTAAAATCTTTTCTCATTTCTTTTTAAATTAAGTCTCTAGCCAATATTTCTTAGCCTCCATCCATAAATTTCCACTGTTTACTTTAGAGAAGCCTCTTTAAAAAAAAAAAAGGCTTGCTGAGTAATATTTAATTCTATTCTATTCGTGTGTTTTCTTTCCTACCTGCCTTTTTTATTGTCCCGTGGGTTTCTGGTGGGATGGTGATCAAGACTTAGATTCTTCGGGTAGAAAATAAATGCACATTGAGAATTTAAAAAATAATGCTGTTTGTGTCATTCTTACCCTAACCAACCCCCTAAATATGTTATCCCTGGCAGGTGGTTGAGTGCTATTATTGCTAAATAGGAAGCAAGATTTACATTTTTAAGGGACTTGCAAAAGATTTCAGGAAATCAGAAGGAGGCTTATAAGCCAGATTTCCTGGCTTGAGGCTGTGTTCTCAGACCACCCACAAAAATTAATTGTTCATTAAAGACCTAAAAAGAGACCTTTTAAAATTCTACTGTAAAGATGAAAAGCATGGAAAGTAATAAAAGCAATGGGTGAGAACACATGTTCCATTTAATTTTTGAAAAAATCAAGTAGCAAAGTGATATTTTAGATAAGTAAATGTACCTTTATTTTTCAATTACATTGTGCTCTAAAGCAGCTAATTTTATGAAGAGCTAATCATTTTATAATTATCCATGTAATAATTTCTATATAAAGAAAAAATCTATCATGTATTAATAGTAAAATGTGGGCAAACAAGTAAATTGTAAATCTAAAATTAAATTTGTCAGCCTAAACCTGTTGCTTTGAACCTATTATAGAGTATATGAAATGAAAGGTTAGAACACAAATGAAGTAAATGACCAAAATGGTCAGATAATCATGTTTTCTAAAGTTTCACAAGGTATTTAGAGTAGCAATCTATTACACTTAGCAAAATGGCCAACCAGTTGAGTCTGGAACCAGAAACATAGAAGGGAACTTAGAGATTATTTCTTCAGGAAATTTCAATCTGGGCCATGAAGTGGGAAGAAGGCTGGTCTCAACATCCTTCACACCTTCACTCAGAGCAGTCTTCCTCCTATCTGGGCTTCCTAGTAAGATTTCCTTTGAAGAAAGTTTTGATACCTAGAAACACCTGAACACCACTGATAGGTCTAATTCTTCACTTAGATGTGAGGAAAATGAAGTCCAAAGGGGTTGGATATATATGAATCTCACATTAATTGCCTTATTATATAGTAAGTTATTGTCAAGGTTACTGAGATCATACTATAACAGCAGCTCTATGTGAAACTTACATAGTGTGCATGTAACTAAATTGCTATTTCTCACAAAGCATGGTTTTCATTTTTTAAACAGAAAAAAATTATTTCTTTAAATTTCTTTCTTTGAAACTGTTTCTTATGTTAGTCATTAATAGGTATATCAAAATAATATATTCCCATGAAACATCAAAGTAATTGACGATTTATTTTAAACAAAGCAATTTTCTGTTCAGGACAGACAGAGCAACTAGAAACATTCCATTGAAATGCTTAAAGTGTTGAATTAATAATTATTTAACAACCGTGCAAAAGCACTTAAAGGAATTTTCACTGACTACTTTTAAGCTAAAATCCAACACTGCTCTATAGAACAACGTTTTCAGTGGTTTGTTCACATTATGTAGATGGAGACAACATAGCTCAAGATGAATTACATCCTATAATCTGTTTTACAAAAATTAATGGGCAATCATTTGTCTCCACTTTGAAGAAATATCTTTTTATCTATTGTCAAATTAATCTAGTGATATCTATGTGGAGTAGCTATTTAAAGTCAGCTAATAAACCGGCTTCCCTGAAGCTTCAGCCAGAATTTACTTGATGTGTTAATTTTCAAAAGAATATACATACATTTTTACACTCATTAAATTAGAAAAACTTTAAAAAATGATAATCCACAAATACTGGCTCAGTTGGCAATGAATCTAAACTATTCACACACTACTTGTTATCCTTCTGGGAAGAATTTGGTAATATATGCCAAAGGCCACAAAAATTCTGAAATTCCTTGATCTAGTAACCTCATTCCTGAGTATTTATTCCAAGGAAATAATTTGAAAGGAGGAAAATACTTAGGCATTAAGTTATCCATTACATTACAATAGTAGAAAAGTTTAAATGAACTAAATGATCTGAGAAATGTCTAAATAAATTATTGGGAAATAATTCAAAACAATTATGTAATCGCTATAATTATGAAGAGCAGCAAATGTGGGGAAAGAAAACCTTTGCCAGTGACACAAATTACTGTCCACGTTACAGATGTGACGGAGCACAGACAGGAATTTATTCTGTGACTTTTCAGGAGAGATGCATTTTAATGAATAAAAAAAAGCAAATGGCATTCCTTTTAATGCATGGATGATGGGGTGGAGCTGAGAAATAACTGAGCCTAAGTCAACAGTGCAGAGATTTTTTTTTTTTTTGGTAATAAATTATTTTCTCTAGTTTAGTAAGTCTGACAAACACTCTTCATTTGATTCCCAAATAAATGTCCTTACTTCAGCCAGAAGAGTGGTTTATAATCAAATGAATGGAAGTATCTGCCTCAGGACCAAACTATTGCCAAATTAGGATATTTCTAGTCCTGGCCCTCCACAAAATTAAGGAAAGAAGTAAAGACTGTTTCCTTTAAAGGGACCCTACAGACAGAAAATGTTTATGGGGAATCTCTATTGAGGTATCTTCTTCAGGATTCGGCTCCATTCAGAAGAAAGGGTCTGATCACTCAATTTTCTCCATACCTAAGTTGCTCTGCTCCTACAACAGCCAAGTCCTTCCTTGCAGAAGCCAACCATTTCTAGACTAAGTGAACACCGTTACCTCCTCCACAGGTTGCTGAGCAAGGGAAGAAATCCGTCTCCCTCCATCGGTGGATGATAGGCTGATAGAAGATGAACTGGACTGTACTGTCAGTGGGCCCCGAATTACGGATCTGTGGGAGACAAGAGGAAAGTGGCACTAGTGTGACAGGGCCATGCTTTCTGGTCCCTCGCAGCTTTGGACCAGAAGGTATGGTAGCACTGATGGTCTTAGGCTGTGTGATGGACTGACTGCATCAGGGCAGAGGTGGCAAAGACAGTATCGCTTATCTCACCATTATACCAGCAAATGGTCCTTGTGTGGCCATCGCTATCCCCACCTTCTCAGTTCTGTTACCACAGAACGAGGGACAGCAATGTCTCAACTTGCGATTCCACTACCATCTATCTTATCCAAAGCCAGTATTCCCTTTCCCTCCTTTATTTCCAACCTCTCTGGTATAACGGATACAATTATGTGGATTTTTAAATGTAGGTTCAGAAATAAACAATTTGTTCTAAGAAAATTATAAATGCTATTAATACTGCAGAAAATGAAACCAATGTCTTTTGTTAAGAAAACAAACAAAAACAAAAAACAAAGAGTCCAAGAATTAAGTAGGTCTTTCCTCTCAGAAATATACATGGGTCTTTCTGTCAAATTAGTGACTTATATATTTTAATGTGTAAAGTTACCAATTGGAGCTTTCTAAAATGCAGATTCCTGGGACCGTGCCCAAAGAACTAGGCAATTCAAATGTAGATGGTCCAAGAACCAAACTTTGAAATACCAACTTACATTATGAAAGCAATTACTTTCAAATAAAACTAGTGCTTATGGAAATGACAACTCTCCCCTCCCCCCCTTTTTACAAGGGGAAATGTGAGACAATAATTCCTTAATGGTTCTTAAAAGAACAAGGCTGAGAAAACATACTCAAACTGAAAGAGAAGGAAAAATTACCTAACATGAACAGTTAATTTCATGAAGGTAGAATGTGTCATACAACACTTAGACAGCTGGGTAAGGCTTGGCCTACTCATTATATTAATATTAAAGAAGGTTCCAAGGACAATTGAGAGGATCACTTCTTACTCTAACTACATTACAACAATTAGAGAAGTATCAGTCCAACTGCATCACATGGACTAAGTCTTTGTTAAGTGTTTTTAAGTCTTACCATTATCCTAAGTTCCCTTTATCTAGGGTAAATTGTTGAATTTAGTCTTCAGATTATTTTAAAGATAGTCCTATTTCTCTGCTACTGAATTTAATGAGTGAATTAAACATTTAGGATGCAGGGGAAAATAAGAACACTGGAGAAACAGGGACAAGAAAAATTGATAGATTTTTGAGTTTAGATGAGTTTTTGGAGTTTAGATGAGAATATGGGAATGCTCCTCAGAGGGTCTGGGAGAGGTGGAGAGGAGAAAGAAGAAAGAGAGAAAACCCACAGAACATCTCATATTACCCTGGGATTCCGACCTATGGAGCATTTGGGCCTTTTCTAATTAGAATAAACAGTGATACAATTCCCTACTTTAAAACAAAAACAGCTGAAGCAACATAGTGCCTTTCACAAAAGAGGAGCATTGCCTATAGATTAATATCTCTCAGTCCTATGCGTCAGATACAAGGGTACCTAATTGCTTGCTCTGGGATGTAGTATTAATCACATTCTTTGGAAAGCTCTTTTTTTTTTTTTTAAGCTCACAAAAGCCTCTAACTCTCTTGGGATGTGTGCTTATCACACTGGAAAACTATTTGAATAGGGCTATCATTTGAACACAAGCTCACTGAAAAAATTTAAAAAACAGCATTCGTTTAGACCCAGAGAGATGGATATTTTTGCAGGGGTTCATTTTGGAATGCTAGAAACTGAACAGAGTCCTGGGAAAGTAAGGGAAAAAATTATAGGTTCTTATGGCCAAAGTGAGAAGGATATAACATCACAATACTTGGAGATTCCTTGTTCTAGAATATTCATACAGTGCCTGAGCTTGCCTTTTGATCTGGTTAAAAAGGCAGAAGGGTGGAGCAGGTCCTTTTGGCTAGCTCTCTAGAAGTTACCAATAAAAGCACCTCATGCCATAAGAGGAAGGAATGAATGAATAACTAAAAGGAGTTTTGGTGTTAAGAGGAAGGGTTAGAAAACACCATGTGGCAGCACAATTCACAATTGCAAAGATGTGGAAACGACCCAAGTGTCCATCAATACATGAGTGGATTAATAAACTGTGGTATATGTATACCATGGAGTACTATTCAGCTTTAAGAAACAATGGTGATATAGCACCTCTTATATACTCCTGGAAAGCGCTGGAACACAT